TCCTGAACCGCTTGTGGGAGAACAGGAACAGACTCAAGAATATCCTCAAGTTTCTGTTCTTTATAGCTTTCCTAGACTATTTAAATTCCTGCCAGAGCCTGGCATAGAGAAAGAAAAACAAATCTCAGAACTGAAACAATCTTAGAAATTACTGAGACCAGATCACTGCAGGCAATGACTTTCCAGTGGCTCTTCAAGGTTCAAGGAAAAGTTTCAAGATTATTTCACTGGTACTAAACAGCAAGCTTTCAATGCTGCAACACATACAAACACCCTGCAATCCTGAAGAGTAAAATTACCTTCGCTTTCACTCTTCAACCACAATCTCCAGTCTCTCACAAAAAATTTAAGATCTGATTCTTCTGCACTACTGCCTACAGTTAAGTTTTAGCAGATTGTGGCTGCAAGAATATGTACATGCAATTAGACTTCTGCCTGTGACTAAGCAGACAGATGGCATCTCAGTACTTTCCATCCTCAAGCCATATTATCCACAGTCCACCTTAGTGGTTGTAGTTCAATTGAACTGCCATCATTAGCAATCTCTTGAATAGTAACAAGCCTTGTACACCCAAGAACACAGGATTTCCTCAACCACATCAGAGCAGGCACTAGTCAAGAAAAAAAAGCAAATCCTAAAAAATAATAAAGCAAGGAAAAGCACGACACAACATGGATCTACTATTATTTAGTTATGTGATAGCTTTCCCAGACAATTCTTTTCTAGCTCAAAATGTGTGGACTTCCTCATAATAGAATGGTTCATGACTTCTATCAAATCTTTCATATGGAAAGTCACTGACTGTCCATATAGAAAGGGCGGCACTTTAAGCCTGAAAGAAGGTTGGGAGACCTCTGTGCACTTTTGCACTTTCTGTTACATGTTAATTGAAGAGAAAGTATCAAATCTTTGAACAGTTGCAATATGCCTACACTGAGATCAGCAATAAATTATCCACTAAGTTCTACTACAAAACCAGTTCTTTCAGATGTATTCAATGGTACTGTTTTCCTGAAAAACAAAGGCACAGAGCAGGCACAGCTTTCTTCAGTACCTGTATTATTGAGAACCTTGAATATCCTCTTAGGATGTTCTTGCATGTCAACATCATCAGCCCTACTGAAGTTACATACATATACTTGGGAAATATTCCTTCAGTGCAGGACAGAGCAAGTCCTCGGGACACAGAATAAAGAACATCACTTTTTGACCCTGTAAGTAACATTAAGCAACATGAGGCTGAAGCCCATGCAGCCTGACTTAGGGAAGGAAGGATAGATGCATAAATCACATCAGTCAAGCACGACAACTTTGAGTTAACTGGGGAGTAAGCCATATGAAATAGGTAGGCAAGGAAAAAGAAAAGAAGGCGTGGCAAGGTGGAGGTAGAAGAAAAAAAATGAGGTGATCAAGAAGGCAGACAAACACAAACTGGTAGGAGAAAAAAAGAATCTTACATAAAGCAAATGAAAAAACTTTGAGTTAATTGAATATGCAACATGCAACAAGCCCAGAAGGGAAGACCACACCAGCTAAAATAAAATGACAAGAGGAACACTTGAATGGAAGAATGCAAATACAAAGAACAGGAAATTAAAGTACACGACAAAGTCCTGACCTCTAGCACATGCCTTTTCATATCTGGAAATGGGACTCCTGACTTTGGCTCATCGTTAGTTGACTGAGAATATTTATGAAATAGATTCAATATATACTGGCAATTTTGCCTTTTGATTAACTGTACAGGTTGACAGAATTGGCAACTACAACTAATGGCACACTGGCCTCAGTATCTCCTGTGCATGGATCCATGTACACGTGGTGCCATTGGAACAGCCTAACTTCACATTCCATTTTTTCTTCCAAAAAATAATATATTAATGCAAAAATAAAAATAAAGGAAAAAAAAAGTCACACAACTAATTTCAGTAAGAACATGCAAATCACACTGCACACCACTGGCCTCTGTGATGCCCTTATATCAGCTGCTCAGGAAGCTGACAGAAAGGACCTCTATTAAACAAGTTAATACCGTCCAAGATTTAAATTGCACAGTTAAGACTAAATTAATGCAGTTACTTGAACCAGAGTTTATCTAGATGGGATGTGCAATACAAACCATTCTTAACTGCCTAGTAACTATCCTCAACAGAGCAGAAAGAAAATGGAAGCAGCTAGTTTCTACTTTTAGCATTTTTCTTCTGTGAGCTTTCTTCAGGAACTGCAATTACAGTATATCCATCATTCAAGTACTTGACTTGTGAGTTTTTAATCACACTATCTTTAATGGTCTGTAGGAGATACGGTGAAGCGAAGAAAGTTAGACTTCAAATACTTAGTCCCATTTTTTGTGGCAGATTGTTAATCGTGGTATTTCAACACCTGAATGACCAGCTTCATTTCTTCATGTTATTTATCTTCAACAGACAAGCCAAAATACAGAAATACACATTAGTGCTTCAAGAAAATCTTAGTTGGACATACATAGCAGATCTTATGAACCATTCATTTTTACATCATCCTATTGTTATGGCTCAACTTGCCTTGAAGGAACTGAGGTTTCTCAATTTTAACATGCTCAAGCTCTCAGGTTTGCACACAACCTAAACCATGTTTCAGGTTGACTTTCCAAATGGCTGAATTCAACTATTAGACTTCGAACTTTGAAAGCTTGAAAACTCAGACAGCAAACACTGTATCTGACACATCAAGATGGCTATCCCATTTCATTCAATAGACTCGGCTTGCTTAGCAAAAATGCACGTGGCAAGTACAAGCGAGTAAAAAGAGTTATTCTTCCTTTCCATTAGCTTACAAACAAGACAAAGCATTTAATCACAGAAATAAGAAATAAGTAGTAACACATTTAAAGAAACAACATCCATAAGCAGTAAAGCATTCAATCTCTAATTGTAGCTTAAGAACTCTACTCCCATGAACACTACGTAGTATCTCCTTGCTGCATGTATATTTAGAGAGAAGGGATAACATATTAACAGTGCAGAACACAGTAGGCAGATTTGACTGATTATGAGTATCATATGCAGACGAATTAATGCTATGCTTTGATGGAAAAAAAACAAGTATGTAAGTTAGTGTCAATGCATAGGAAAAGATCTTCCTCCTGTCCAAATAATGTTAAGTTTGAATGAAAATATTATTTAAAATGGTAGTTAAAAAAAAAGCAAGCTACCATGCTTGGAGCAGTATGTTTTGACATTGTAGGAATTAACTTAATTGAAATCCACTGGAAATTTATCCAAGAAAATGAAAAGAATCTGAAATGTGAAAAGCAAGTTAAAAATCAGTAGTCTCCTTTTTTATTTTAGCTGCATCTGAGCTTGCTGTAGCACTAACATTTGTATCTGCCAAATGTATTTTTGCGAGAAGCAAAGTATTATTTCAACACAAATATATTCATTGGAATTGGCTTTATTTTACTGTCCTATTACTAATACTTGCTGAATGATGATTTCTTCCCATCTACTGAGGAATACAGATGGCTTTAACTTCAAGCAATTCTCAGTGATAGGGGTTTAATAGGGAGGATGTAAATGCAAATTCACCTTTTTATGCAAAAGCTGAATCACAACACTCAAGTTATACCTGCACGATTTTTAGTGTTCCGGTGGTACTGCAGCACACTTGCCAAGCCCATCATTCTTTTTAGAAATGGGAAATTAGCTAGAAAAGAGGTTTCTGAGAGCAAGCTACTCAAAGAATCAACCTTCTTTTTCTATGCCAATTTACCAAATATATCATTTTCTTCACTCTGCAAAAAGGCACCACCAACAGATTCTCTTAACCAGTTAAACACACAATGAGTTGTTATGCTAGAAGAGGTTCTGATGAACCTCTACAAAATTAATCACACATTGACAAGTAAAAAAGAAAGCAGCCGGTAAGGTTACTTAGGAACATACATGCTACTGCCCACTACTTCAGCAAGGATAGAAGGCCTACACTACTTGTGCTTCTCTTATTTCTCTACAAAAACAAACAAAAAGCCACTAACCAAACAAACAAAAGCATTTGTACCCCTTCAGGGATCAACAGCACAAATGATGATAATGAACATGTTTCTGCCAGCTATGTTTTTTCTTACAAGATCATCTTGTCACATAAGAACACGATGACATCAGATCACATTCTCGTAACTCAAAAGTTAACATCTTTAAATAAGACTAGTATCCTTATAAATACATTTACTTTTGCATGTGATGTTAAACTTCACTTTAAAACAGACTCACTAAGCAGGTTCATACCACCAATCAGCTTTTGCATGTTCCCAGACACACTGGGAAACAGACAATAGTTACAGCATTACAGAAAGGACCTGAGATCAATCCTTGGACAAAACAGCCCTAAAAATACATCACGTGAATCGTATTACAACTGGACATGTCTGAGCCATCTCACTTTCAGTTCAACAACAATCATACATCATGTACATGTACAGCAGCATAAACATGCGCAACCTAATACAATTTCAAAGGAACACAAAACAGAGGAGTACTAGCAATAAAGTAATGCTGCATTATGTAATCTTAAAGAAAATAGCAATTCATGCATATACAAAAATACAACTGTAATCAACAACTTCTACTTCTTGTTTTACACCTTTGCTATTAAGATCTCTGGCACTCAGTGCTTCTAAAAAGAGTTTTCGCACACTGCCCAACAGCCAAAAATCCAGAAAGGTAGCTACCACAAACCATATGCTCATGTGGAGAATGTTCACAGGTTTTAAGATTGAAACCATCACAACACACACAAAACACAAATCATTAGTTTCTTCATTCTAAAATTTAAGCATTTGGAAGGCTAAGATTGCTAAGTTGTCTCTTTCTGAAAAGCAAATAATTGCCTTCTGAAAAACAGAAGGCGACAGGTATCTGACACTACCAAAGTCATCCTAAAAAAGAATATTAACCCAATTCCAGCTTTCAATCAAACACATGGAACAATTAACTCAGAATTACTGATGATGACTCCTTACCTTCAATCCTTTTCAAGGCTGACAGGCAAGTATCCCGACTTGGAAATTCAAATGGATTATTGCAGGTCCGAATAGTGTCACATTCGCATTTCCCGTTGATTATGTTACAACCTGTTATAAGGTTTTCATTGCATGGCTCAAATCCAAGGAGCTGGTCATCATCCCAGTTTTCATCTAAAATAAACAAGCAGAAAAACTTACTATTGATTTCAGTTACAGTATATAAATTCAGCTGCTTTGGGGTCAGGTGCAATTCATTTCAAATTTAACATTGAGCTAAACAAGACTGCAAAAGAATGGATTAATCTAAACGATAAGATTTGCCAAATATTGTGCTTCACAGCTGTTCTACTGCTCATTTTGCCCCAGTTACTGGCATTGTTTACTTCAATCAGCATGAAAAACTGTCACATCTCGAGGAAAAGCATAGCTGTAGTACAAATGAGTGCTACTGTAAACAAAATAACTTCTACAGATACTTGAAGTTGTATTTATCATGGAAGTGAGAATGTTGGAGAGAACCTGCAGCTGTTAGAGAATTCAACAGTAAGTTAGAAAGAGAGCATAATTAAACAAGTTTTAAAAATACATCACATAGAATTCACTCCATAGAGATGACTTTTTACTTCAAAAATACTGCAAGATGTCAGGCCTTTGATTTTGTAATATGACCAAAAGTGAGTTTCCCAACACCCCTGCACAACCATCATCATTCCAGGAGAATTGTTCAAGCACATTCGGCTCCTTGCTGTCAAGTGAAAGGGGAATGTACCAGGGCTAGAATGCATCTCTTTGCTCTTTCTAATGAGTCTGATGTATCTGTTAATTCTCATGTTTCTATTGTACAATTATCCATTACTTCTCCGGTTACATGCAGTGAGACTATTTTCCCTTCTCCAAAACGGAGTTTCTTCTCTCCACAATTCTGCTGGTTCCACAAAATCTCAGTTCCTTAGATCAACGGTACATACAGCAACATTCAACAGACTAAAAAAAACTTAAGCAAGACATATACTTCCAGGCATGAGGTATTTTTAGCTGTTGCACGCTAGATCATTTTCCGACCTGCCCAGTCTACCAAATCAAGTACTATAAAATAGTTATAAAAATGCTCTGCTGACTTCTAGATGCATCCCATAGTCCTGAGGGAATTAGCTAATGTAGCCACCAAGCCACAAATAACTATGATATTTGAAAAGTCATGCCAATCAAATGAAGTCCCCGGTGACTGGAAAAAAGGTAACATCACACCCATTTTTAAAAAGGATGATTTCGGGAAATACCAACCTATCAGTCTCACCTCTGTGCCTGGGAAGATCAAGGAGCAAGTCCTCCTAAAAGCTATTTTAAGGCACATGGAAGGCAGGGAGCTGATACAGGAGAACCAGCATGGCTTCACCAAAGACAAATCCTGCTTGACCAACCATGCAGCCTTCTACGATGGTGTCACTGCATCAATGGAAAAGGAAAGAGCCCCTAATGTCATTTATCTCAACTTTAGTAAGGCCTTTTAGTACGGTATCCCACAACATCCTTCTCTCCAAATTAGAAAGACACGGATTTGATGGAAAGACTGTTTGATGGACAAAGAACTGGCTGCAGGACAAAGTCCAATGACTCAATGTCTGGAAGGAGATTGGTGATGAATGGTGACCCCCAGGTGTCAATGCTGGGACTGATACTGCTTCATATCTTCATCAATGACACACTCAGCAGGTTTGCTAATGACATCAAACTGTGGGGTGCAGTCAACACACCAGAGGGACGAGATGCCATCCAGAGACACCTAGGCAGGCTTGAGCAGTGATCCCAGGTGAACCTCATGGTATTCAACAAGTCCAAATCCAAGGTCTTGCATGTGGGTGGATGCAACCCTCACTACCAATAGAAACTGGGGGATGAGAGGATTGAGCGCAGCCCTACCAAAAAAGACCTGGGAGTACTGGTGGATGGGAAGCTGGACATGAGCCAGCAACGTGCCCTCACAGCTCATAAAACCAATTGTATTCTGGGCTGCATCAAAAGAAGTTTGTCCAGCAGATTGTGGGAGGGGATCCTCCCACTCTACCATGCATTGGTGAGGCCTCACCTGGAGTACTGCATCCAGATATGGAGTTCTCAGTACAGGAGAGACACAGATCTGTTGGACCACGTCCAGAGGAGGGCCACAAAAATGATCCATGGAATGGAACAACTTCTGTTCCATGGACAGGCAGGACAATGGACAGGCTGAGAGAGCTGGGGCTGTTCAGCCTAAGAGAAGAGGAGGCCCCAGTGTGACCTGACAGCAGCCTTTCAGTATCTAAAGGGGAACTATAGAAAAGAAGGGGACACTCTGTAGCAGGATCTGTGGTGACAGAACAAGGGGAAATGGTTTCAAGCTCAAGGAGGGTAGATTTAGGTTGGATATAAGGAAAAAAAAAAAAAAAAAAAAAGTCTTTTACAGTGAAGGTGCTGGAAGAGGCTGCCCAGAGACATGGTTGATGTCCCCTCCCTGAAGACTTTCAAGGCGAGGCTGGATCAGGCCCTGGGCCCCTGTTTGTTGCAGGAGAGCTGGACTAGATGGCCTTCAGAGGTCTCTTCCAACTCTAAGGATTCTACAATTCTAAAACTATTTTCAAACTCTACATCAATCTACAATCTACAGCAGCTTTTACCTTGCAATTTCTAGTAGTTCACCTCAGATTTATATACTATCAACAAACAAGTTTTCAACAGGGATCCTGCTAAGAAACACTTTAAAAAAGCCAAAACATCTTCCAGCTACACAGCATTGCTGTTGCTCAGGTTTGTTTAAAAATAAGACAGGGATTGAAGTATACAGTTTCAAATATTCCCTGCTTGCGAGATTTAGAACTTTTCATGCTAAAACAGAGTTATTTTGGAGAAGCAAATGACAAAATAATCTATCTATACTGGCAAGAAAATCCCTGCAGAGCACTCCTCTATTTTAATGAAAGAAGGGGCAAACACAGCATTGTCTAAGTGAACAAGCTGCATGGCAACACATGCAATGACACAAATGGTTGTGCTGCCATGTTTCTGTTCAGAACACATCACTCCAGATTCTGACCCTAGGAGCATGTGGAAAGCAGAGACCCAGACATGTTTGGGTACCACAGTCAAACAAGCAGGCATGCTGAACAGGCTGGGCACTCAGCTGACTCCAGAGTGTAGCAGCTGCTTTTGGACCAGATGCTGAGCACTAGCCATGCCATCAGGCAGAACTGCTGACCCAGGCACTGTTGACAGAGAGGGAAGCATTAGTTCTTATCTACACTTATGCATTGTTCAGAAGGAACATATGTCCTCAGCTGACTCATGTCCCCTCCCTACGCAGTTCCACTGACAAGAAGAAATGAAGACTTGCAGGGTTAATAGATTCCTGTTAAGCAATTCTTAGTCCCAGATACCCTGTAAGCTACACCTTAGAGTGAGCATCAGAAGCTGCCCTTCACCACTGCAGACTGCAGCCAAACATGAACCGTTTTATCATTCAGCAGTCTGACACTGAACCAAAGCTTAAAAACTGATAGCAAATATACACACTGAAGCAGATGTGTAAATTCTGCTCAGAGAGATGTGCAGAATATCAGTCAACTTTCTGTTTGGGGAAAAACAAATAAAAAGCAACAACAACAACAACAAAAAAACACACACAAAAAACACAAAACCCACACCTCCACAAAACCAATACCTGGAAACCACAAAGAGTTAAAACAAACAAACAAACAAACAAACAAACCACCAAACAGTTAAAGCTAAGTACAGTAGACGATCTAGAGAGAGCATAGCAGCTGATTCTCACCAGCGTGTTTGTCCCTCTATATCCAGCTACTTATTATTTGTTAAGTCAGCAGAACACCTTTCTGACAGAGAACACCAAATAAATAACCAAGTCAATTTTAGAAATGAAGGAGAGAGCATCCATGGGAATCTCCTGGCTGTTTTACTCCATAAAAATAGCCACGGAAGAGTAGTCATTAACTCCAGGAAGTAATTTATTAAGTCGACCAATCACCCCACAGAGCAAGCATATCAATAAAAGTCAAAGGAAGCACAGAAGTTCACAAAGAGAAATTATTGAAATTCTTTCAAAGGAAGGTGCAGATTCAGTAGTTTCTGGGATGCTTGCATGATTATGAGGCCAGGGAAAAAAAAAAACAACAGGGAATTTTGAGAACAATAATATATCCTGTTTTTGATAAGCCGGAATACAGCTTGGACAATTTGTATGTTACAAATCACAGCAGTAATCCACGTAACAAGAACAAAAGAGGCAATAGCTGTACTTTAAAATTCAGCATGCCAAATTCTGTACCAGACCACAACTTCATCCAGATCAGACTGTTTAATGGTCTTAACAAAAAGAATTGATCTAATTGTTTGCTGAACCATTCCCTCTTTCTGACACATAGGATCTCATCCTCTGCCCATTTGCAGATCAGGAGCCTAGACCCCCACAAAGGTACAGCCAGCTGTACTCATCAATGACCTTTTTGATGCAGATGCATCAGAAACCCTGGAACTATCCACAGTATTATCTGATTTCCATTACAGATGTTTGATATCTGCCAACTCTCATGGATTTTCAGGAGGGAGCAGAAAAGCATACACACAAAGTGCCTGGCCCAGTCCTAGCTGTACTTAAGTCATCAATACCACATCCCTCAAAAATGAGCTCAATAGTCTTTAAAAGCATAGAAGAGAAGAGAAATGCCCAAGAAATACTTGCAGACAACATCTGACATAATTATTCATGAACCAAGGTGTTTTTCATTACTGCAAGCGAATACTAAAAAGTCACATCCATATAGGAAAAACATAAACCCAGTGTTAGCTTAAGCATCTCCTAGCAGACTGCTGTTCACACATTTCAGTTTAGAAATGTGGTTTCCATCAGTGCGGTAGCAAATGTGCAAGAAAGAGAAAAAGCTTACTGTAGTTTAGTAAATCTATGCAAGCATAAGACTTCTTTTCCTAGTTGATTTTGTAATTCCAAGAACAGAAGCAGAAGTTAAAGATTCTGTTAAGCGATTCCCTAATTATCAGTTAGAATAAATCCACATAAGTCACACCAGTGTAGGCAGAACAAAATTCCTTGGAATAAATCATATCGTCACATGAAAGCACTTGCATGAACTAGAAGGCCCAAATCCAGTGTCTTACTTTGA